TCATTTTGATTTTTATTTCATCTTTTTTGTTGCTTTAAAATGACGTTTTAAAAAGATGAACACTTAGTTCAACTATTTTCAGTCCATGCTTTTTTGTTTTTTAAATTTCCAATAATATAAATACAGTTACATATTTTCCTGAGTATAGCTTTAACTGTGTCCACTAGATTTGTGTCCGTTTAATATGTTTCTTTAATCAGTACTAAGATTGTGCATTTTTTTCATGTTTCGATACTATTGGCCATTAATTTTTTCTTTCTATGAATTCTATCTCATTCTTATTCCATTTTTCCTTTTTAGATATTTATCATTTTCTTGCTGATTTATCAGTTATCTACACTGCAAATATGCCAGTATTTTTCTTTTAATTTAATGTTATGTTTTACTTTTCAGTAGAGAAGTTTCATGTGTTTCTTTGTAGTTAGATGTACCAATATTATTGCTTTGAGTTTTCCTTTCTGATAGCACTTTTAGATAGATGTTTTCCTCTCTGAGGGTACATAAATCATTACTTATATTTTCTTCTGATTTTTATGTATTATTGTTATCATTATTTTCAATGCTAGGGATCAAACCTAAGACCTCATCCATAAAAGAGAGATTCTACCACTGAGCTACTTTTCCAGCCTTGATTTTGATATGTAACTAAAAGAATCTGATTTTACTTTTCCTCTAAATGCTTAGCCATTTGATATAGCATTATTAATCCACAAATCATTGTTTTCCGGTAATTCTGGTTTTTATCTTGTTTTTTAGACTTTTCATTCTTTTTTATCTTTCTGTATATCCCTATGTCATTCATATACTATTTCAATCATGTTTTATGAAACCTTTTCACATAAAATGGGCCAAGTCTATTCTATAAATGTTATTTTAAGCAGTTTCCTTGACTCTTCCATGATTCATTCCTTCCTAAGAGCTTTACAATTGTTTCATGAAGTCCTCACAGACTCAATCACTGCTCCCCGCTTTCTGTGATCACTCATGAGGAAGTGCACGAAGTTTCTACTTTCTTTGGAGATTTACACCCTCCCACCCTCTTTCTGCTTTCTCAAGCTCTCCCACTAGCTGAGGCTGAACATCCCAGACCTGCTCAAACCCCCCTACTCGATCTCCTCTCTTTTCTGCTCTGACTCTTCCCTGTGGTCTCAGAATGTATTTGTTTGTCCTGAGGTTGCAACGTGGCCCTTCAGCCCTGGCCTGAGACCAGCCACTTACACCTGAAATGAAGTATTAATAGAATTAAAAAATAAATATGCAGGAGGACTGGAAGTGAGGTGACTGTGCTCCTACCTCAGATCAAAGGGCCTGGTGACATCATGAAAACACTTTATGCTAGTCAGCCCTACAATCAAGACTTCCAAGCAGGAATTAAGAATGTCATTCACTGGACTCTTTCAGTTATTCACTCCATTCACTCTACTTAATAAGTACATATGGATGGGGCTATTTTGCTTAGGAAAGTCCTTGTAAATGCCTCTCTGTGGCACAAAGGTAGCCCAGCCTGGCATCAGAGAGCACTTAGAGACTCTTTAAGTAAGTGAAGGTTAAATATGTTAATATTTGAAATGCATCAGGTCAAGACTCCCAAATATTACTGCAAGTCAATGTGGATCCAGCCCAAGGGCAGTTGCCTTCCATGTGCCATAAGTTTGATTACAGAGGCACTGTATAGCCACCAATCATCCTGCAATCCCTGTGCCTCAGAGGAGAGGGCATTACAGAAATATGCACTGGTCCTTATCTGATCATTCAGAAGTGACACACATTGCAGCTCCATGTCTGTCTTCAAAAGGCCCTCATTGAAATATTGGGGCAAAACAGTAAAATCTACCATAAGATTCCCGCTATTAGTCATATGGAGTCCTAATAGTTACAGATAACTAGAGTGGATAGTAATAAAGCATGTCCTGGTCTCTGAGCAGCTTGGTGATTGCACAAGGAGATGTCTGTCCTCTATGTTCTTGGTTGAAATCTCTTAGGATCCATCCATTCATTCTACATCTACATGTATAGCGCCTACATGTATGAGCACATTGCTGGAACAAAATTATACAGCTTACTTCTCTGTTGGGTAGGGGCATGTAGGGCCGTAGGATCTACAAGAGCATGACTAGCCATTTCCATCTTTGTATCCAGTGCCTAGATAAATATTTGACATCTAAATTAACAGCTTATTTCCCCTAGTAGATACATAGTCTTTGGTCTAGTATATAAAATGTGGTTAACTTGAAAGGTCAAGTACATCATTAAATTTGAATTAAAGTGGACATCTGGAAAGTAAGAGTGGCTGATGATTCCCAGAACATAAGCAATTCAGTTGTGAACGTTATACCTCAAGGGACTTCATAACAAGACTAGGATCCTAGTAGAAAAGAAAACATCAGAGGGCTCCTCATTGACTATTCATTATGGGATGTGGGCTGATTTGGTGGCAGGAGAGTTGAGAACCAGGAGGAAACTGGAGAATATATTATTAAACCATCAGAGTCTTCCCACTACAACTTCTGGAAAGATTCTCTTTCCAGATATGGAAGGAAGCCAGCCACTCCTGTAGCGTCACCTGGTACTCTGAGGGTCATCATATCTTCAGACAGCACAAGAGTCAGAGTGGACCCTGGCTAATATTGTGGAGGGGTGGACATTGTTTCAGATCTTGGTTGAACTTTACCCATGTATGTTAGTACAGGATAGCCTCTGTGCTCAGGGGCTCAATTTAGGACTTGAACTTCTGAAATATTTGCTTCAGTCCTCTCTTTAATCAGACTGTGTCTACAAAGCCCAGGTGGCCTTTCTTGCCATCATGGGACAAGCAGATTCTGGTAGATTTGAAGGTTCTTTTTAGCAGGTTGGGATGTTAGTATCCCAGGCCTTCAACACTATGAGAGATTATTTTCCTTTTCACACAGTTTGGCTACTCTTCCCTTCCCTTTGAAAGAAACAGCCTTGGCATAAGTACTGGGGTGGGTGGGTGGATAGTGATCCCTTGGAGAGGGTCAACCAAGACCACCATGACTTTCAATGGCCATACTGTGCTATAGGGTACCATGCCCCAAAGCTTAGTTGATTGAACCAGGGCTGAGCACTGACATAGAAGGCTCATTTCCACAGGAGTTTCAAACTGATAGCAAGAGTTCTCACTTCTATGGCATGGCTTTGCTTATGCTCCCCTAGTCCTTCTTGAGCTCATTCAGAACCATCTATTTATAGAAAAAATGCTTTAGCTTTGGCTTAAAATACATAGTTGTTTTCTTGTACTTGCAATAAAAGGAGGCTTTCTGAGTGTGCCCAGGTGTGGCCTCTATACCTGGGAATTGTTTGCTCTTTATTGCATAACAGATCTGTATTTCAAAGTGCCAGGAAATGGAGACTTTTGCAGTAAAAGGAAAAGGTTCTTAGCAGAGATCCTGGGCTGCATATGGCCTGGAAGTGTGACTTTATTTTTTTTTCTGGACATGATATACGGGTTCAGTACTTCTAGGAAGAGGGGTGGGATTTGGAGGCCCAATCCAGAAAGAGCAATACCCTTGGTCCTTGGGAACAAAGGAGAGAATGGTTTCCAGTTCCAGGAGAAGGTACTTGAGCCCCTTTTGCAGGCCTATGGTTCACCCAAGTTCCATTCCCATTTCTCAAACACAGATGTCATTTAAGTAATTTTTTGAAATGCTGTGTCAATAAAATGAACCAAATATTCAGGAGTCTTCCAAAGTACAAGCTTTGGGGTCCAAAAGGCCTGTTCATGACCCAGCTCCAACTCTGCCATTCAGTATGTTCCTGCATAAGTCCCTTCCCCTCTCTGTGCCTTGGTTTCAATATTTGGAAAAAGAGGAGGATGAATTAGCTAGATTATCTGTGAGGCAGAGTGGGAAAGATTGCTGGAACTGTCAGGCAAAAGAGGGTTTGGGGTGATTTGAGCCAGGCCAGACACCCTCTGCTCATAAGTTCCCTGAAGTGACTTTAGAACTGTGAGCTGACATTCCTGTGCCATTGACAGAGCTGCAGAGATGCTGGGCAGAGGGATTAGGAGGAGCACTGTGTGCAGCTTCCTCGGCTTAGGAAGAAGCAGTCACAGACGCCTCCAGCTCTGGGGCTCCAGATTGTAATGAGAGAAGTTTGGGGTTTAGAGAGAGTCCTGAACATGGATCTACACGTGGAAGTCATCAGCATGTCAATGGAATGTGAAGCCGTGTGTGTGTGTGTGTGTGTGTGTGTGTGTGTGCATGCTCATTCTGTTGTGAGTGTAAAGAGAAAGAACCAGAGCTGAGCCTTGGCACTGTCCCATCAAGTGGTCAAGGACAGCAATGAAAATGAGCAAGGGGCTGGTAAGGAGCAGCCAGAGGTTGAGAATCAATGTAGGCAACAACAGTGTCCCTGAAAGCCCAGAGGAGGGAGAGTTTGAAAGAGGAGGGAGAAGCCAGCTGAACTGGATGCAGCTGAGAGCTGGTGAAGGAGGAGGGCTGGAGAGGAGTCATTGGGTTTTGTTACAAGGATCACAGAAAGTGACTTTTATTGCTTGCAACTGGAAGAGCAGGTGGCCCCTTCTCTGCTGGGCTTCAGTGTGGGAAGGTATTTTGCATTTTACTCTGAGAGGCATCTGAAATAGTTCTTTTGGCTGCTCTCAGCTGGCAGAAGTCACCGTTTTATTAGGATGTTGGCAACACACAGGTTTGGACCAAGCACTGAATCCCCAGGGGCTCAGAACTCGCAGATCACGAGGCGATGCTGTCCACAATCCTTGTCATTCCACTTGCCGTTGGTGAACATCTCAACACAGTTCTCTGACCCACCATGATTGTTGGGCTCCCCAGGGGCCCAGTTGGAATAGACCAGGAGCTCCCCTGAGGGGTAGACAAATGTGCCCTCCTTCTTGGTGTCTGTCAGGCTCAGGAAAGCAGCCTTGTTCTGGGCTTCAATCAGCTTCTGCAAAGCAGCATTTTCTGCCGCAGAGCGTGGGGAGGGTAGTTGTCCACCAGCCTGAGTACACATTTTCTGTGCCCCTTCAAAATTCGCTTCAGAGCCCACTGTCTTGAATATCTTGTCCCCAACACTTTGGCCATTGGGGAAGAGCTCGGCTGAAACAAGGAGAGTCATGTTAAGGCTGGTCGGAGCTCAGAGGGTTTGAGATCTATGTGGTGTGACTCGAGCCTTCCTAGACAGGATGTCTGGGCTCCAGAAAGGATGTAAACAAGATATAGATCCAGAGCAGCCCCAATATCATGATGGACCCTGAGAGAGAGGATGCCATGGTCCCCTGTTCACAGATGAGAGCACAGGAGGGCAGAGAAGTTAAATAAGAGGCCCAAAAGTGTGTAGTCGTCAAATGCACAGTTAAGGACACCTTCTCCAGTCTGACCCCAAAGCTCAGAGATGCTGTTTTGGTGTCATCCCATATTGTATGCCTGGATTGATTTTTCAGTAACTATGTAGAATTGAACAGCTTTTCTCAGGGAAATGATTCCTGGCCTGAGCCCATTTCTAAGAATACCAAAAACACAACGCAATGACTCTGTCACCCCTGTTGCTCTAATGTGAGAGTGTTAGAGAGGTCTGTGCTGTACGATGGTGAGAGGGCACAGGATAGATTAGCATAGGGCATCTGAGGTTGTTGTGTGTCAATTTCTGCTCGGGTCTAGCCCAGGTTGGCTTCTTGGTGTACATGTGGTTGATGCCTCTGCCAGTCAGTCTGCCCTGGAGGTGCTGGGGGATCAGAATGAGGGCATCTGAGAGGCGCATCTGTGTGGGCCAGTACAAGGTGTGAGAGAGAGCCCTAAATGGGAATCAGAAGCCCAGGCATTAAGACATACCCTGGTTATGACTGTCTGGGTGGACAGGGCAAAGCCAAGTCCCTTCTAGGGTTTCCAATTCCTCACCTCTCTAAAGTGAGGAATCACTTCACAAAAGCAAAAAATGTCAAGCAGGTCTTTATTCCGATCTGTCCTCATCCTGTGGTTTTGGATCTGTGCATGGAAATCTGCAAAGGACACTAAACTATCAAGGCCCCAGGGAAGGCTGTGCTCCTTGATTTAGGCTGGCAGAGTTCAGGCTGCACCCTAATTCACTGTCTATCTCTGAGCATCTTTAATAAAGACTGGAGGAAGATTCTCTGTGGGCTTAGGACAGCACCCAGAGAGTCCCGAACAAGGTCAGTGCAAGATTCATGCATCTTGCCTGGGTTTATGCTCCAGGAGGTGGGTATGCCTATGCCATATGCCATGTGAATATGCCCATGGATTCATCCAAAGACCTGTGGGAGTCCTTAAACTGGAGGTTGCACATTTTGAATTTGAAAAATGACCTTGAGCAGTAAAATATAAGTAACTCACATGATTAGCTTTCCAGGGATGGAACACTAGGCAAAAAGAGTTTAAGGTCCCTCTGGTTGTGTGTGCCCATGTATGTGTCTGTATATACATTCAAGCTCATGGATGTAGATGGATGTGGAACGAATGAACGAATGATGATATTTAAGTGCAGATGTGTGTGGCAAGTGTACATGTGCAGGTTTTTGTGTTTCTGTCAGTGTACCTATGCAAATGAGCGCATCTATGAATATGTTTGTGGAGGGAGGGAGAAATGCCAAATGCTTGAAACTCTCATCTCTGAGCTTGAGTACCTAGAAGCCAATCCTATGTCCTATCCAAATGAGCTCCTTCACGCTCTATGTGATCAGAAAACATCTTTTTCTGCTTCAGAAAGATATGGAGTCAAAACTAATGTCAAGAAGGGCAGAAGAGGAGGAGGGAAAATTGGGAACTGAGGTGGATTCCAAAAGTCACAGAGAGGGCCAGGGATGTAGGTCAGTGATGCCACACCTGCCTGGCAAGCACGAGATCCTGAGTTCGATCCCAGGTATGGGGGGGAAAAAGAAAAGTCCCAGAATACCGAGGGGTGTGGTCCTGGGTGCCTCAGACACCCAGGATTGTAGTTAGGGCAGGATCTCTGGTCCAGACTCCTTAGGAGTTGCAGGCAGAGCTTGCCCAGCTGGAGCCCAGAGACAGCATGGCCCCTGCTTGTTTTAGGAGCACATGGAAGGAGAGATGCTCACTGGCCACACACCAAGGTCAGGCCCTACCTGCCTTGTTCCCTAGAACAGCACCTGAATTCCATGCTGCCTTGGGCTGCACAGTATCATCTCCAAGAACCCCCACACCTGGCCCCCTAAAATTGAGATACACAGCTCTTACAGGATATCCTTTTCTTTATCACAGGGACCAGCACAGGACAAGCAGGAGGGAAGGTCTAGAGGATTGTTTTGGCACACAAGTGGCCCTGAGATTGGACAGTCCTCAGAAGCTTGGTAGCTTTGGCAGTGTTTCTGCTAGCCTGGTGAACTGGTGACATGGGCCACATCCTCTGACTTGTCCCTTGGATTTACTTCTACATCTTGGGGTACATGGCCTCCTTGCTCCAACCCAGCCTTAGCTTTATCCCCACTCCCAGCTCCAGTTTCAAAGCCAGCTTCAGATATGTCCCTGTTCATCCCATCACAGACCCATCAAGGCTCACCCTCAGGCCCAGCCAAAGCTCTTGCCCCAGTTCAACCCCACCCCAAGGCCCAGAACTAGTATGGGGCCCAATCCTGGTTCCAGGCTGAGACTTGGATCCAGGAACTTACCTTTCTTACAGTGAGAGAAGGAAGCCTGGAGGGTCTGTAACTGCCTCCGCAAGGCCTCCACCTGCTGCTTCAGAGCAGCGATGTCTGCAAGAGAGAGAAATGGCCAGGTGAAGACTTGACCAGCACAGCCAAGTAACAGCCCAGAGCCAGGGCCTCAGGAGAACAATGTCCAGTTACAGGCAGATATTGGGAGTGGAGGTGGAGAACTGGGCTGATTTCCAGCAAGGTCACCTCTGCTAACCCAGGGCGCCCCTGTGTACAGGAATTTCTTATGGTTCTGCTATGGACAAACCAGACCCTGATCTCATTGACATGACCCAGATGCCATTTTGACACTAAATTCTTGGAATGGCGTCTCTGCTCTTCCAGGTGTGACTGTGTGTCTGTGAGTGAGGGGTTAAGAACATACATTCCTCATATACTTTCCGTCTATTGGGTTATTGGATACTCAAAACCATCCTATGAGCTGGAAAGGCAGCAGCTGCTTTTTCATATCAGTTGAAGAAACTGCCCCAGATTTGCCTTCTTGCATGCACTACATATCTAAGATCAAAGCCTGATTCTGCCCTCCAGCCCTCCAGCCTTTCCCCAGTCCCACCCTCATCTTATAGTTAATGGGCTGTCATCGCACTGGAAGACGCATCCTGAGCTGAAGAGGGTTCCTATCCCCACACCACTCCCAATGGGGTTCCCAGAGCTAGGAGCTACCACCTTACCTGGAAGCCCACTTTCACCCTTGGCTCCTTTGTCTCCAGGAGCACCTCTGTCACCCTTCAGTCCTGGGGGTCCCCTGGAACCTGGAGCTCCCTGTGGACCTGCAGCTCCAGCAGGCCCTGGAATCCAAGAAGATAGTGAGCCGGGCACCCATTTTACCATGTTTTAACTTTCTCTGTACATGCTCTGTCCCTATTACCTAGCAGTATGTCCTGCTTACACCAGACTAAGGCTCAGAACACCGCAATCTACCTCTTCTGTGTACAGCCATCCTGGTCACCAGCAACTGACTTCCCTGGACACAGACTAGCCCTATACAGGCTAGCACTGCCCTCTCCCTACAGAGAGAGAATTTCCAGAATTGCATTCTTCTTGGATATAGACTCCGTTATGATTTATATCTAGATGACTTCAAGAGCCTCCTGCACTCATATGTGGGGCTATTGGAAAGTGATAGGATTATGGGGGCTTATAGCTGTCATGCTGTTAGGAGGTAGGGGCTGCTTGGAAGAGGCTGGTCTCTGAGGGCATGGCCTGGAAGGGTTTATCTCCCTTGCTGGTTCCTCCCTTCACTCCCTGTTTTCTGGCTGCCAAGCCATGAGCATCTTTTCCTCTGCCATGCCCCTCTGTCATGACACCCTGCCTTGGACTCAGCCAGTGATGGAATGAAATCTCTACAAACTGTGAGCCAAAATAAGCTCTTCCCCCTTAGAGTTGTGGGTATTGGGTATTGTGCACAAGTGACAAGAAAAGTGACTAAGGCCCAAGTGAACTGGCAATGCCAATTCTAGCCTCATGTGGTGAGTTGGAGGGGTACAACTGGGCATGATAAATGGGCCCCAGCACCAGATCTCCCCATCACTCACCTACTGCCCCAGCACTTCCGGGGGCTCCAAGTTCACCAGGAGTACCTTTCTCCCCTTTAGGGCCTGTGGGGCCTCTTGTCCCTGCTGAGCCCTGAACTCCTGGGGCACCTACTTCTCCTGAGGAAGAAACAAATAGGGACAAATGCTACTAAGAGTATTCTCAGCAAGCATTATCTCCTCAGTAGTAGACTCCAGAGTCAGAGAGGAAACCTGACCGATGCTCTTTACTGCTTGGGGTTCCTCTGTGCAGGATGAGTAAGACAGTGTTAACATCAGGGATGTAGGAAAGGGGTGCACAGAAAAGCCTTCACAGTATTGATGGTCTGGGCTCCTCCTGGCATTCTCAGCATGACTCATGTCACACTTTAGATCATACTGTCATTCCTTCCACCTTGCTTCTTCCAAGATCAGCCAGAAACCATTCACCTACCTTTGGGCCCAGCCTCTCCTTTGGGTCCTGGTTTGCCTTGAGGCCCTATATTTCCCTGATTTCCAGAGGGACCATCTTTTCCTAGTGGACCAGGAACACCTGGAGGTCCTGGAGGTCCTGGGGAAAAAGACCAGCTTAGTCAATGACATTGAACCCTCTTGGCAGTGGGAATGCCTGAAATGAGAGTAATAGTGGAGGTCAGAGAGGCACCCACAGCAGGCCAAGTCTGTCCCAAAATAACCCAGTGCTGCCTTCAGAATAGCTTTCATCTTTCTTCCTGGGATAGGCCCAGTGCATGCCTACCAGTTAAGCCTATGGCAGAAGCACCACTTGGAGATATCTGAATTCCATGCCCAGTTGCTCACCACTTGGTCCAGAATCTCCCTTTGGTCCAGGCTCTCCAGGAAAACCATTGTCTCCTTTGGGCCCAACTGGGCCAGCTTGTCCAGGAATCCCTGCTGGCCCTACAACTCCTGGCAAACCTGTAGCAGCAAAATAAATGGATATAAAGTTGGCTCAAGGTTCAGAAAGGACTAGACACTTTCAGGGTCAATTCCTGGCATTCCTTCAGTGTTCTTCAGGGTGTGCACATTCCACAGTTACACACCCTGGTCCAGTGGTGAGCTAGGAAAAAGGTGTCTGCATCCTCATTTTAAGAAAGAGCCTTTTGGAGAAGACGCCGAATCAGCCCCCTGCAGACAGGCAGGTCTGTGCACGCCCTACCGAGGTCCTGAGTCATGCGGAAGATGCCGAATCACCCCGCTGCAGACAGGCAGGTCTGCCCACACCCTGCCGAGGTCCCCAGTGACTCCGAACACACGCTGAATCAGCTCGCTACAGACAGACAGGTCTGTGCACGCCCTACCGAGGTCCTGAGTCACGCTGAAGGCACTGAATCACCCCACTGCAGACAGGCAGCCACCTGATTCCACATTACCAAGGCGCAGAGGACACCAGACCACCAGACCAAGGCACTGAGTCCCA